AGAAATTTTTTGTTGAATATATGATTTCTCAAATTTTCCTAACATTTTTTTGTTAAAACTATTCTAATAATAAATCATATATATAGAATTTAAAGCTCAGATTTTGTTTCATCAATGTTGATATCCATGATTTTGTTCTCTCATTTACCAATTTATACAAATAATTTGGATTAAGATTGTTGTAGGTTGTTTAAATCTTATCATTTCATCTTGAGATTTCAATAGGTTGAAACTTTTAATGCGATTGAACGTGATTAATACGAGAAAAGAGGATTGAATACGGGTAAATGATATTTCAATGGGTTGAAACATTTACAACATTTTCCAGTTTTGTCCTTTCTTGGATAAAATAATTTTTTTTACTTTACTAAAATAACTTCTTTTAATATTGGTCTTTGATCATGAAAATGGATGGATGAGATTAGTTTATAGGATTTGTCTAAAAGGAAGTAGTTTGTATTTGATCCTCTCTCTTTCTCTCTCTCTCTCTCTCTCTCTCTCTCTCTATATATATATATATATATATATACTAGAAGGGTACTCGGATAATGCAACGTGATACATCTAGATTTTAGTGTTTCATTTTTTTTTTGTCTTCGTCGATGTTATAATACGGTTTTATGTGCTTTTGAGAAAGCAATAATGTTTTTATTTTTGAATGAGATATAAATATGAAAATGATTTTAATACCAGACTAACTATTCAAAATTTCTCCTTTTTTGTGTTTTTTCTATAATTCATTTTTTCATTTTTGGTTTAATAATATAATTTTTTATAAAAATAATAATCAAGTATTTTGTTAGAACTTAATGATTATCCTAATTATATTTTAGTTTTTTTATATTTAAAATGAAATATTTGTCCTCAGTTTGATTATGTTTATCTGAAATTTGTTACACGAATTCAAATATTAAGCTTTAATAAGTTATACTTAGTACAATTTACTTGTAATATTGAATTTTAAGAATATGCATCAATAAAACAGTACTTCATACATAAAAAATGATTTTTGAGAATTTTTATCAAATATTTTATAAAATAATATAGTATATATATAGTTAATCATGATAATTGTTTTAATTAAAATAATACCACACGACTACCATTCAAAGTTTTCTAGAATGGGAAAATAAATATATGTTCAACCCAAACCTTCACGCCAACGAATTTGATTTGTTGGTTGGAGAAAAATAGAAAATATATACATAGTTTAACTTTTTAATTAAAAAAATCCCAACTAATCACTTATAAATAATATATATTTTTAATTAAATAACAAATATGTCATTGTTATTATATTATCAATATAATTTGCTGATAACTATTGATACGTTAAACATACTTTTTATTAAATTATTCTTATCTTGTTTTTGTTGTTCGTATATAACTATGAGAATATAAATATAAAAATATGATAACTTTGTAAATATAAATAAAATTATTCCAGACATCGAAGTCATGTTCCAACATTATGCTTATATTCCCGTTGCATAAGAATATATTGCATTTTAAAAGATTATATTCCACACGATCTTTGATACGCATCATTGGTTTATTGATTTTTGTTAATACATGTGATGAATAACGAACCGACACTTTTAAGGAACAACTGAAAACATCTGTAAAATTCAAAAAAAGAGTGTTTATTGATAATATAATAAAAACAATGTAATTTACTATAACATATATTTTTACACAATTGATTAAGAAGTTCAATTAGCACATTTTTTGATTAATAATAGGTTTGGTTATGAATATATTTATTTATCTATAATATATTATAAATCATTTGACAAAAACTCTTAAAAACAACTTTTTATGCGTAAATTATTGTTTATTAATACATATTACTTAAAACTCAAGATTGCAAGTATATTGTGCGTAAGTAACAAACTGCAGATAAATATAATCAAATACAGAATAAACATCTCGTTTTAAAAATAAAAAATCTAAAATATAATTACAATAATTATTGAGTTCTAACAGAATACTTAATTATTATCTTTATAAAATGTTATATTATTAAACCAAAAATAAATTATTTC